GCCTCGTTACTTTCTTCTCTCTCTCTCTCTCTCTCTCTCTCTCTCTCTCTACACGCATTATAATTGATGATTTAATTATATATTTATTTAATTTTTTTAATATGGATGTATGGATCCTTAAAATTCATTATTTTTTAGATTTTATTTTATTTTATTTGACGATTATAGAGATGTATGGATAGGTTTGATCGACTTTCGGACTCAACGATTTCCATTGAACTATCGAATTTGGAATCAATTTTAAACCAATTTATTTCGATCTATTTTAATTTTTAATTTTTAACTTTTTTTTTCGAATTTGGATCCAATTTATTGACAATTATAGAGATGTATGGATAGGTTTGATGCAATCAACAATTTTGATTGAACTATGGAATTTGGAATCAATTTCAAACCAATTTATTTCAATCTATGTTCGAATCTCGATCTATTTTTTTTCTTCTAATTTTAAATTTATTTCGAATTTGGAATCAACAGTTCGATTTATTTCGATCTATTTTTATTTGAAAATTAACCTCAATGATATAAATATAACTTAGTAATCAGCAATTTTAGAGGGATGGATTTGTAATTTTGCTTCATCTTCTCTCTTTAAGCTGCTTATAAATCCACAGCGTCGCCACCTTGTCCTCCAACCACTACTTGGCTGCCTGCAACACAAGCTTCTCCATGGCCTACTCCTCTTCCTTCATGCTGCCCCTTCTTCTTCTTCTTTCCCTCTCCCTCTATGCGACGATTGCCACTGCAACCGGCCACGAACACGCTGCAACTAAAGAGAAGATGACGCACCTGCACTTCTACTTCCACGAGATGTACTCCGGCCCGAACGCGACCGGACTCGTCGTCGCAGTCCCACCGGGCAAGAACTCCTCCATCGACACCTTCGGGGCGCTCATCGTGATCGACGACATGCTCAGGGAAGGTCCAGAGCGGAGCTCCAAGCTGATCGGGAGGGCACAGGGGCTCTCCGCCCAGGCCTCCCTGGATGGCACGGCGCTGCTGACGGCCATAAACTTCGTTTTCACGGAGGGGGAGTACAACGGGAGCACGGTGGCGATCCTGGGCAGGGCCGTCCCCAGCGCTCCGGCGATCGAGCGGACCATCGTCGGAGGGTCGGGCAGGTTCCGGATGGCGCGAGGGTACACGGTCAGCAAGGTCATCAGCTGGGGAGGTGGATACTTCCTCATGGAGTTCGATGCTTATATCATTCATCACTGAGTTGTGGCTTTCTTGTCCTCTGTTTCTGGAAAGAAGCCTTTGCTCTTCGGAGATGATATTGTATGACTTCCTTTCTCCCTATCATACCATATGAAACCTTCGGGTCTATTCAAGCCTGATGTTGACTTTTATTCTTACAACAACCGACAAACTAGCTTTGAGTCAACTTACTCAATCTTGATTTGGAGCAAATCTAGAAGGATAAGTTGCAATTGTCCACATGGCAGAAATGTGTTGCCGTGAACACAACGTAGTTCACTCTGTCGCCTTCCTTGGCCATCGGGTAAAACGTCTTTCTCTTGCCGGCTTCTTTGTCTGAATCCTGTGATTCTACACACCAAATTCAATCGAGATGACAAAAGCTGGTCTTCCACATCAGATCTCGAGCTTCTACAGCCACCTCTATAATCTATCTAATCAATGTCGATCGCAGAGCATCTCATAATTAGAGCAAAGCACAAGCAAGTTTTATTGGCATGGCAGACGCACAAACGCAGCGCAGAGCAGCGCAGCTCAGTAGTGGAAGACATACGCATCGAACTCCACCACGAACAAGAAATCATCAGGTCCAGTGCTCTTGACGACCCTGCTAATGGTGTAGCCCCGTGCCATCCGAAACATGCCGGAGCCTCCGACCACGCCCCGCTCGATCGCCGCGTCGCTGGGAGCAGCCCTCCCAAGAATCGAGATGCTACTCCCGTTGTAGTCGCCCGCGGTGAACACGAAGTTGAAGGCCGACAGGTACGCCGGGCTCCCCAGCGATGCCTGCACCGCGAGCTCCTCCGCCTTGCCGATGAGCGTCGAGCTCGGGTCGAGCCCTTCCTTCAGCATGTGGTCGCCCACCGCGATGCTCCCGAAGCTGCTGCCGGAGTCGTTGCCCGGAGGGCTGACCACGGTGACGGTGGTCGTGTTGGGGCCGCCGTAGTTCGCGTGCAAGTAGTAGTGCAGGTGAGTCGTCTTCTCCCCGCCGTCATCGCTGCTTGCGATGGCAGCAGTGGCAAAGAGGAGGAGGAGAAGGAATGGAGATGAATAGGATGAAGAAAGGGCCATAGAGGTTGTGGGAACAAGCGGATGCAGTGGCTTGAGGGGTGGGTGGACTTTTATGCACAGAGTTTGGTGGAACGATGACATCAAGAGACGAAGAAGGAAAAGTCAAACCACTGTTCTTAACACATCAAGTCAGAGTTCGAGTGCTTATTGGGAAGATACTAGAAATGGAGAACATGAAGCATGTTACTTCCATGTATTAAGTATACACGGCAAGACACCATGCATCATGCAGCATGTAGAGATTAAGCTTATAGATGAACTAACAGTCATACATTGGATTTGGACCAACTCAATTAGCCCTAATTGATTAATGTGAGATGGAGGTTATTAAGAATATATTAAAATTTAAACTTTCATAGATCTATGATCAAGAAAGTATTTGATTCATCATGTTATATTCATGTCAGTTCAATGATTATTTTTAGTGTATTGAGTTGGAATTCTGTCTCCATCACTTATTATTTATAAAAAAATTAATATATGATGAAATAGAAATATCAGTAAACTTCTGACAAAATTCTATCCCCCAAAATATATATTTTTTTTTATAAAAAGGTAATGATTAGTGATTCTATGTAAAATACTAATGTGTATGTATATATTTGTATATGTCAACAAAATAGAATAATTTGATATTTTTAACAACATAACTTAAATATATAGAATAACTTAAGTCCTCAATCATAATTTAAATCGAGTGGGTATCTTTCTCATGCATGATTGACTTAATCACATGCCAAAGGGCGGCCAACAAGTAATCTACTCTTTGTGCACCAAAACTTTTGGGCTATTATTACTATATTTTAAGATTTGTAACTAAATGATTTCTTAATTTATTTTATTTAGATTAGTTTAATTTGGTTGTCTTCTACCGCTTTTGTTCGGAATTTTATGTTGCTTCGGCAACACAGAGCATTTGTAGATTGATTTGGTGTGTTTACTGAGTTAATTTGTGTAGAATTAAAGAATATGGTGTGAAAGAGAGAGATTTTTGATGAGTATTTATACCGGATTTGAGAAAGAGATTTTTTTTTTAATCATACGTGTGATTGATGCTCAAATAATAGATTAATTGAGGATATAAGAAATGTATTATTGTCATTTCATATGTCTCTATCGTGCCCTCGAACTTTTATTAAGAATATTAATATTGGATTGATATAATTAAAATATTCTATATGTAAGAGGTTTCTGAGGTTGTTTGCTAATTGATCGTAAGTATGTATTTGAGAAACACATAATTGATATTTGATAATTTGATCTTCACTCGATGATAATGCATTTCATACATAAGTGAAATATTGGATTGGTGTATATATAGGTGATACTAACATTATCATAGTATATTATAGAAATGGATTGAGAGGTGATATCAAGTTCCTGTAGTAGCTCGGTATACAACTTTAGTAGTAATTCTTATGACTATTTTTTTTGTTTATTAGAACTCTAATTGATTGGATTTGTTCTAAGAAAGATAATGTATGTTGATGTAGACTTTTTATCATCAATGTTGATTGCCCAATCAACAAGTATGAAGATGAAGTGATTAGTATTTATGAAGAAGAAGTATATGATTGAGAGTTCATTTTAGATATCGTATGACTCATCTTACTACAAACTAATGCGTAGTAGAGGGTTAATATATAAATTATGATAATTTATTAACTACAAATGAGATGTCTGGACGAATAAGCGATAAGTACTGTAAAAAACCAAATAGTCTTATCGTTACTGTGTGAAATCCGTAGCAGGCTGTCCATATATAATTTGAGTGATTTAGTAGCAAAGAGTGGGGTGGCAACTTTTTTTTGGCATTTTACATGTTCATTTTTTATTGTAAATCTTGAATGTACTTTTTTTTAGATAAGAAAAATGTAAATGTTGCTTCCACTCATAGAACGTAACTTAAGATTCCTATATTTTTGATAGAGAATCGATTTACCAACTGATTAAGGAATTACTTGATCTTTATGAGATTATTATATGTAATAATAATATCATCTACATGCATCAGTAGATATATAATACTTTCCTTTTATTACTGTAGAAATAATGATGTGTCAAACTTGAGTTGACGAAGCTAGTTGACACCAAGAGTAAGCCAAGTTCGTTATAATAGACTTTTGGAACTTGACGAAATATATAAATAATTTTTCATAGTTTACAAACATTACTTGAATATTGAGGGTGGATGAAACTATGAGGTTGCTGCATAAAGACATCTTTAATTAAGGTTTCATATAAAAAGGTATTATTAATATCTAGTTGATATATGTGACTAATAACGAAAATCTAACATAAACTTGATTAATAACTGGACCGAATGTTTCCGTGAAATCAAGGTAAAACTCATTTGACTATTAGATGTAGTTTGTATCAGGCAACGGATGATTTGAAATATTCAGCAATCTAATCCAAATTAATCATTCTCGTCATCCATTTATGCCCACCAACTCTCAACGGATGCGAGCTCTCCACCCAATCCATCATCCACTTCTCCATTTTTCTTTCTTTTTGTTGCCTTGTTCATTATTGCTATCGCAACCAGCCATGAATACTGTCTACCTAATGGCACTTTTACTTCCACGAGAAGCTCTCTGATCTAAACGTTCAGGGAAGGCAATGACCTGAGCTCCAAGCTCATCGGGGCCGCAGGGCACAGTGGGGCGAGGCTTGCTTGAGGGGCCCGATGCTATTCACAATATTCAACTTAAATATTTAGATTGATTTATATGAATATGATAAATATTAATTTAAATTTAATATAGATTTATAAAATTAATAGATAATTATACGATGAATAATTACATCAAATAATAATAAAAAATTAATTTTTATTCCAATTAACTTCGCCTTAGCATTTTCGAGCACACGAACTCAACGACGAGCGAGACAATGGAGAACGGCCCTCCAAGACACGAGATACGCCGCGGGTCGGCGTCGGTCGTGTGGTCGTTCCTCGGGTCGCGTTTGGGCTCCCGCCTGACGTCGTCGTAACCCAAGTCGCAACTACCTGAGTCCGAACGACGGCACTCGCGCACGTCACTATCCCATATCGAGAGTCGACTCGTGTCTTCTCGAAGCTCCCTTCTCTCTGTGGATGCGACATGGCAGCACACAGAAATGGAGCTCTACATGCCGCGCAAGGCCACAGTAATGCTCAAATAGAAAACCAAAGCTGTCGCCATGTTGGCTTGTTAATTGTAGTACAACACGCAAAGCAAAAGATCAAAGGCCTTTCATAACTTAATAGACTGTCTTCCTTTTCTTGTGCTGCTGATTCATCACCGAAAACAAAGACTTGAAACCGGAATCTGATTCCATTCTGGAGTGGCCTGGAAAGAAGACACTAGTAGGGGTGGCAGTGTCTACTAGTAGGGAAGAGTTCTCATGTTTTCTCAAGTACGAAATACCTGGCAGTTCTTGTTTCTTAAGATGTAAGGAACAAGAGACTTGCTTCTGAAAACAGAGGAAGGTACAGTCAAGAAAGCTGATGCCAGGAGAATGTGATGCAAGATGGGCTGTCTGATGGCTAGAAAAAGAGAGCTTTCCATGAACAGAGTAAACAATAGTGCAGGTGATGCATCATTTGTACAATTGGTGTCTCTCTTAGTGGTGGTATTTATCATAGATAAGTTTAAATTGGCACACAAGTTTCCACTCTTCAGCCAGTCAAAACATTTGTTAGCCTCTGTAATTACATGAGAAAAAGTAAAAGATCCAACATATAAAGTCCACACCTTTGCAGTCAGAAAAAATGGGTGTCATAGTACATTAATGGTCAGATTCTGACTCTCTGATGAACTCTTCCAATGGATGTAGAGATGAACGACAAAAAGGAACAGTTTGATCCTGTAGTGGATTTCCATGATGAGAAATCAGAGGCAACGATGAGAAATCTCATGTTTTAGAATATTGCAATATGTTCATCAAACATGACATAACTTGCTATATCTTGTGGGTAATAGACCTAAATGACCCTTTCCACTGTAACCAGATTGCTCTGATCTCACAGTAGCTTTCAGCCAAGACTCAAACAAAGGGCAATGCATGCCAAAGATATCACTTTTTGAGAGTTGTTGATTGCTAATCATAATGCTGATATGCTCTGCTCGATGACTAACAGAGTCAATACCGACAGCTGCACTAAAGGGGATTATTGCTTCACTGTGAAGTAGGTGGGAATGGCAAGCAACATGTGATGTCTCGGGCTTGGTTGGATCCAGCTCAGCTTTCTTCCTCATCAGGAAGACGCCATAACTTGTGTGCCAAGGTTGATTTGGACCTTTGGTAAAGCGATCATAGTTCTCATTCCGTTGCGTACGTGTGGTTGCTAACTAATTCTCCAAGCTCGAGGACAAATGTTTTGGTAAAATAACTGAGCTAAAATGGTGAAGTGAAGTGGGCTTAAGCTCCAGAATCCAACATTAGAATCTTGGCTAGATATTGACAACATCTTTAGTAATGACTGAGGTCGACTGGTGAAATATTTGTCACCATTGAATGCTTATATCCCATGAATTACTTTTGCATAGTTGGATTGAACTCCTCACCATTAATAAAAAGCTTATCCTATAAACAAGTCAAGCACAAATTTATTGTTGCTGCTGTGCGGTAATTGTCGGGTTCCATTCCTCACCATTGGAAGCTTCTGCTGTAGATAATTCAAGCATCATCATTGCATCTCTTTAGTTGCCGGTTGAATTGAGCTGCTGCTAATTGTGCGCCGAGAAGAGAGAGAGAGAGAGAGCACAGGAAGCTTTATCTTTCTTTTCACGTTCAAATTCGGAATGGCTGGTAAACGCCTCGAGCAGGCCGCCGGCTGCCAAGGAGAGGCCAAGGAGAAGGAAATTAGCATTAGCAACGTCTCCATTAATTTATCCACGTAGTACAGATATCATACAGTCTTCTGATATAGCCTGTGGTGGCCGCAGAAGAAGCTGCTGCTCCACTTGGATTTGAATGGTAAGCCGCTGTGTCAAGCTCGAGGAGGTAAACCACCCACTGGAATCCATTATTCTTGTCACAATTCTTTTTTTGTGTGTTCATTAATCTATAAAGCTTTCCTCAGAGCCAGTACAAGAATTTGTTGAACGAGAAGAAGAAAAAAGATGATCTTTTTCTTTCTCTTTTACTTTTCTACCGAAGCAGTACATGGAGCGAGAGAGAGAGAGAGAGAGAGAGAGAGAGAGAGGGATTCAACTTGGTCAAGTGATTAACATAAATAAAGCACCAGATTTTAACGCTGTGTGTGTGTGCGTCTCTCTCTCTCTCTCTCTGTCTATATATACATTAAGAAGCCGTATTTGTTTACTACTACTTTCTCTCTGTCTTCTCAGCCACAGCTCACCACCACTACGACCACCTTCACCACCTTTTCGTGTATGTATAGTCTTCTCTCTAGTTGATCTCAACGCCCTTCTTGTTCCTCTGCGGCGGTGGCGCTCACAGTTTGATCCATTGATTCCCTTTTCCCTTCCCATCAACACAGAGTTCCGGAAGAGAGCAGAGGGAGGCATAGGAAGGGGAAGGAGAGATGTTCGGTGGGTTGTTGGGCGGGAAATTCTCCAACAAATGGTAACTGGTTTTTGATTCTTGGTTCTTGGTTGTTCTTGTGGGGGTTGGCTGATGATTTTTGGGTGGGTTGATCAGCAAGCACGCGGCGAAGTGCATAAAGGCCAGGATGGGGCCGATCCGGAACCGGAAGCAGGCCTTGGTGAGAATCGTCAGGAAGGATGTCGCCAACCTCATCGCCGCCGGCCATGAAACGAAGGCGTTCGAAAAGGTACATTCTCTCTCTTCTTTATTGGATTGCTCGTTCAAGAAAACGAGGAAAAAAAAGAAGACATTTTTCTGAGCCTCCCCAACTTTGTGTTTCTTTAATGGATGGTTTGTTTGAATCTGTTCCTCGTTGGATTTGGGTTCTTCCCATCTTTGTGTTCCTTCAATGGATGATTTGGGTTCTTCCTCCGTTGAAGTTTCCTCGAGAGATTTCACCATCGCTGTGCTTGCTGGATTCAAGAATATGAGCGGAAAAAACATATTTTTCTTTAATCATCCTCATTTCCGTGGTTAGGTTGCTAACTGTTTGGGTTCTTGCTTTGTTTCTCTTCTTTCTTTACCTTTTCTTTTCTTGAAGGTTTCTTCAAGAACCATGCCAAGAACTTATTTTTCTCTGTCTTTCTCTTTGAATTCTTTTTTGTTTCCTCCATTATTTGCGGTCTGGATGTGCAGTAGGAATACTAAACCATTTTATTGTGAATTTGTTACGAATCCATACCAAGGGCAGGCAATTGTGCTGATGAACAGTTCTAACGCAGCTTTCATATTTTGGCTTTCTTCTTGGAATTGCATGCCCTGGGATTAAGATTCCTGCTTGGTTTGTTGGCTATTCCACCTAGGGTTTTGCTTAATTCTTGTGTCCAGAACAATTATAAGTCTTTGTGATAGGAAATTAGAAGTTTTCTGTTTTGACCTTATCAGTGTAAACCTGACTTTTTATCAAGGTTGGTCATCCAACTGGTTGACTTGTCATCTGAGCTTGCTTAAACCTGCCCTGTGACACTATTAGACAACCAAAAAGTAGATTGGCATCAATTCTTGATAAGTCTATTTGACTGATGATATCATGTGCATGTATCATTGTTCAGATATGTATGGGTGTACTTTTGCTTGGTACCCCTCAATTGAAGAGATACTTTGAACTATTATTATTGGCAATGCTCTGTGTTCTAGTTATATATTGTGTGCTAATTTTTGTGGTACATACCTTTATCAGTCCTTTAAGTAGTTATTGGTTCAGTAAATCTCTAAATTGTGCATACCATTTTCTTCTTTTTGCTTTTCTGAAACAGATCGATCTACTCATTGTTGATATAAACCACATATCTTGCTATGACATGATCGAACAATTCTGCGAATATATCTTGAGTCAGCTGCCAAGCCTACAAAAGCAGAGGTATCCACTCCCCAAATATTTCCATCTTTGGATCACACACTTCTAATTTACATGTTCATTTTGTTTTTACAATTAAAACCAATATAGTCATCTGCATATTTATCTTGTAAGCTACTTATGGCAATAGTACAATTTGCTGATATGAATTTGCCAGTACCAGAGACCAATTTGGACCACAGAATCATACCACACTTTATAGAATGCTGATTATGTTTCTATATTTAACAATTTTGTCTTATCTTTTATCCGTTCTATCAATATTGTAGTGAGACTATTATGAAGCATATTTTGTTTGTTTTGATTAACAGGGACTGTCCCCCTGAAGCCATGGAAACAATATCTACTCTAATTTTTGCTGCGGCAAGATTTTCAGATTTGCCAGAGTTGTGCAATCTCAGGCATGCATTTACAGAACGATATGGGAGCCAGATGGAGTCATGTGTAGATGCTGAGGTGCTAACCCTTTTGCCCATTTCCAATTAAAACAATTTTTAGTTGCTTTTTGGATCTAATCAGAATAATTTCCTGTCAGTTTGTTGAGAAATTTCAGAAGAAATCATTTCCAAAAGAGAAGAAGCTGCAGCTAATGCAAAATATTGCTGATGAGTTCTCTGTAAGATGGGATTCTAAGACACTCGGACACCAATCACACAATGCTATGGCACATGGCTCTGTAAGTTTCACAGGAACTGCTGATTTGCTACCGTTATTTAAGAATTTGTTTTTTTTTTAGCTTAAACAAATTTTGAATTATGGGTTTTAAAAAAAAAAGGAACTTTACCTATGTTGCAGACTCAACCTAAGGATGTTGCACCTTCACATACTGAAAATAATGGAGCGTCACCAGCGCAGGTTACGATACAAGAAGCAATACGATCCAAGGGAAAATATGGCTCTAATCCTATTGGTGTTGTGCAAAGACAACAAGTGGCAATGGAGTTGGATAACATCCAGGTGATTTCAGCAATGAGTAGTAGGCAATCACATGATCCGGTGGAGAAGACACAAAAGGTGGTTGTTTCTCATGATAGAGTAGATACCGAACCATATCAAACCAAGAATGCAGCTCCATCATATGTTAAACCAAGGAGAGATCGTGATGGAATCCATAAAGATGATCTTTCACGGAGTAGGGCAAAAAAGGTGCAAAATGAGCTGGATCCCAGTACAGAGAAGCCACAAGTTGGCTCAGTGAAATCTTGGAATGTAAAACCAGGCACTATGGATCTCCCAGACACAAAATCAAATGGTGATGAATACCATGTGGAAGAAACAAGAAGACATGGTATAGTTCCTCCATACACTAAGGTGAACGAGATCAAGAATGGGAACCATGTGGAAGAAAGGAGTGGTAATGTCCCGGAGTATGATAGCTTGCAAAGGCATGAAGAAGGGTCGCATCCTACTGGGACAGAAAAGCGTTCGGTCAGGCCAGCAACCAACAATGGAAGAACAGCATATGTGATTCCACCTTATGTCAAGCCAAGATTCAATGATGTAGATACCAATGCTGATAAAACAGATCGAAACACTGGTATAAGTCTTGACAAGTCTGATGGTACTGAAGATGCGGATCATAGGAATGAGCAAGTCGTTCATGATGAGAAGCCAAAGCCTGTTTCTGTGAGGAGGAAATTCCAGAAGCCACCAGTCACTGAGACCAACGGGAGTACCATTGATGTTGAGAAGCCCACAAGCCATGCCCCAGGTGGCCAAAGAAGATACAAAAGCAGGCCGAGCACTAATACTAATGATGATAATTATGTTGAAGAAAAGGCTACAATTAGAGAATCAAGGCCTCCGATTGATGATGAAATGAGTAATTCTATAGATTATGGCAAACTCTTGCATCGAGCACCGGATGGACGAAGAAGACATGGTGGTAGGCATATTGCTGCTGTGTATGATGAGGAAGAAATGGTCATGGATAATCTCTTGCTGCGCTACAGCAGGAAAGGGGCAGCCAAGGAACCCAGCAAGGAAAGAACGAGGGCCAGAACTCCTACGACGAATCATGTCGATCCAGATAGAGTTGAGAATCCTGGTAATGATAAAATTCATCCTGTCCCGAGAGAAAAAGTGCCACCTCCGGAAAGGATTCTCTCACTGCCAATGGAACCAGTTACCCCAGCTAAAGTTAAGGAACCTGCTCGGGTTACTTCGATGCAGCCTAGCGGCGGCCGACTGCATCCAAAGCTGCCAGAATATGATTATTTTGCTGCACGACTTACTGATCTAAAGAAGACTTGAAAACGCTGTCACAGGAGTGTTCTTACCTGCAGATACATACATTGCCTTCTCAGCAATAAAAGTAGGTATCTGTTGCAACTTGCAAGACTTTTACTCTTCTCTGGTTCTCCTTATTGCTTGATTATTCACATTTGTAAATACGAGTCACTTTATGATCTCCTTATTCATTCTTCCTCTTTTTCTTCTTTTGATGTCAAGACCTCCCCCTTTTCCTCCCTCCAATATGCTTCTTGTTTTCAAGTTGGTGAAGAAAAACCAGCAATGTAAATGACGGCAGGCTTGTAACTTTCTCCTCATCCGTGCTTGACGCTTATGCATTGATGTTACAGACTTTAAGTGATGTTATTACGTTCTTGTTGTATGGCATGCACTCGAAGGAAAGAGGAGAAAGAACATGATTTATTTTGGGAAAAGAAGTCATGTTCATATGTTGGAATAGGGAGAATGATGTATAGAGTAAGCTTGAGAGAGAGAGAGAGAGAGAGAGAGAGAGAGAGAGATTAACCTGCACCGTCCGTTTGTGGGCAGAGCTCTTCTTAAAGCTGAAACCCGTCAAAAATGGAGAGAGAGATTAACCAGCACCGTCCGCCTGTGGGCAGAGCTCTTCTTAAAGCTGAAACCCGTCAAAATCCTCACTCAGTGCAGCTTTGCATGGGCCATGCAGAATATTTAAAGGAAGCAAACCGCCATGGACCCCAAAGCCAAAACCTCCCCACAAAACCACTCAAGACGACACAGTGACGACGACGATGAAGGCTGCTGTGACCTCTTCCACCACCGTGTTGTCACTGCAGTGGTCCGAGTACCACACAGCAACACCAACAAACCACGGAAATAACTATTAGCATGGTGACTACGTTGTGCTTCTGCCAATAAGTGACAGTAACAACTTTCGCCGCTCTCTGTCTCTCTCCTTTTGTTTTCTTGCTCACAGGACGTGGCTGCAATTACCGGAGTCAAATTCTCGGGAACAGTAAAGCTGCTGCAAGCACGAGGTGGTGTTTCGCACCTTTTCCCCCCTTCAAATGGATGGAGAAGCGAACCCTTTTTACGACGCCATAATGGAAAGGTGGGAAAGCGAAGGCGGACGCAGGGGCGCCCAACCAAGAAGAGGTTGAGCCACGTAAACGCGAGGTAGGGGCCCGCGTGGTCGCCCATGACCTTGACCAATCAGCGACGGGCCGATGTGACCACACCCTCGCGGGTTACGCACATGCGTGGGTCGGGAGCTCGTGACATCGAGGGGGAGAAAACTTGTTCGTCCAACCTCGGACGATCGACCCGCTTCCTTACCTTTCTTGGTATTCGAGATCACCTTGCTCCTCCACCCCGACGATGCGGGTACCGCGGCAGCGGGTGAGAAGAGGAGGAGGTTGCGATATCGAGATCGACATGGGCCCCACTGGGAGGGGCCATTGGGAAGACTTGGAAGCTTGGAACGCTGTTCCCGAGCAGACAGCGTAGCGGCGCCAGTGAGTGTGGCGTCCACCCCGTAATTAACGTTTAATTAGTTGAATTTATAACATGTATTTAATGATTAAAAAAAGCAGTAAATTTACCCCAAAAATATTCCCCACCACCACCCCACGCACCCCACCGCCCCCTCCCCCCCTCTCTCTCGTTCGCTTCCCGTTCATCATCCAAACCCCCCCCCCCTCTCACCCTGTTTCCACGGACCGATCTCCTGTCTCCGATCTGTGCCTTTCCTTCGATCGAGGTGTCGATGGCGCGAGAGAGAGGGGCGGGAGGGGTTTCTTGATTTCTTGAAAGGGGACCATCCCCCATTGTCTCGGAATTAAGGATCTTATTGGGGTAAGTTCTTATGAATCGAATCGAATCCCATATCAAAGCTGACCTTTCTTTTCTTGATTTGGAATTCAGAGCTGTAACTTGTTACGTTTCTTGCAAATTTTGTTAGCCATTTGTTCTTGGTGATTCTGTCTGTTTCTTGTCCCTCTGTTACTGCTTGCACTTTTCTCGGATAGATCTGCCCGTCTCGAGCCTTTTGTTGAGAGGGTTGGGGTCGTTGTCTTATCGTGTAATTTTAACATCGAATTTGGTTGTTTTTTGTGCTTTAGCTGTAGTTTGATGGATGTTGCTGTTTGCTCTTTTCATTTGTAGGTTTCTTGGTTTGATTGGGAATAGAAGTTGGAGTTTTGACTCGGGAGGAAGCGTTTAGCTTTTATTTTTGGTGCCATTTTGTTGGAAATGTTTCATCTTTTTCGTTGATTGGACTGAATCGGTTGTAATTGAGGGCTTGTTTATGGTGTGTGACGTCTTTCGTTTTGAGGAATTTGAGCCGAGTAAATTGATTATGATTCTCATTTTTATTTTCAAGCTGACATGAATCCAATCCCTTTTGATGTTAGTCTTGGGCAGAAAAAAGAATTAGAAACAAAACGAACAGCAAACGTTGCTGAGGAAGCTTATGCATTTACACGCGTTACCTTTTATCTGTTGTAACTTTGAATTACTAATTTTAATTCGAAGCTAGTGTATAAGTGATTGAGAAACATGGATCTTTTGTTCCCACTGGGCTTCTTCAGGTCCATGCTCATCATTTAGTTTTCTGCTGTCCCATGCTCTGAAGAGGATGTTGACATTAGTCTGCTGACAGTTACATAAAAAGAATTTTGTCAAATCTTGTAATAATTAATAAAAATATATATGGTGAAAAACATAGTTGACAAGATGAGTAAAGTCCACTATCTCTACACAAAATATAGATAGACTAAGTGCATGAATCTGGGTTGAGCAATGCTGTTTAGACCATCAGAAAGTGTACAAATCTTGTTTAATATTCATGCATTTGCATAAAGCTAGTTAATACTTGTTGGTAGCTACCAATTTGTAGGATTAATTTTAGGCTAGCATAGTTTTGGAATGAATGTCAAGAGGTTGAGCGTGTCAAAGCAAAATTTATGGGTAAAACAGTTGAATTCAACGATATGTGCCCGAAAGATCCGCTTGATTACTTTTTATTTCTCCCTATGCAGTTGGATATGCTCTCTTGTTATTCTAAGCTTGGATATCCTCTCATGCTCCATTGAGCTGTTCCTTACCTTTCATAAAGATTTATTTAACATTGGCATGAACTTCAATTTTTAGAACAAGTTTACTTCTGTTTCCTCATGTGAGCATGTCTTTCTTAGATGCGAGTGTGTTCGTGGATCTTCTTGGTCTTTAAGAGTTGCTACCATCATATGCATATGATTTCTTGATAACAATCATTTCTCATTCACTGTTGAACCTGCTCTTCACTTGTATTTTGAGCTGTAGCTGTGAGTACATCTTCAAATGTCAAATATCTAATCTCCTTTTATATAGACTCTCTTCACATCTTGAGGAACTTTCCGAGGCATTTCTTGTTTGCTAATTTCTACTTTCTATTTTCTGTCTTCTATGTTCATTTAGGTGAAATTAATTATAATTGGAATGTAAAGTAAATCATGTTTGGGTCATTCACTTTGTAAGTGTTAGCACCTGGTCTATTATACACTTATGGTGAAGATTTATACCATTGACACTTAGTGTTGTACTACCAACCATTTAATGATGGAGTTCTATTATAACCAAACTTTGATATTGTACAAAATAATTGAGGACGATTGTATAAGATACATGTTATGCACTTCAAAATAATACACCAACATCTTGAAGTTTTGAATATAGATCTAGTTGTTCACAAATTACCTACAATTTGCACAGTGAATGGTGCCGTAAGTTAAAGATAATATCATTATCCAACAATTTAATATTATGATTCAGGCTGTAAATGAAGGTACTCAACCTAAACAAAGTGTTTTGATAGTTTTTATTTGATGCCAACACAAATTGACAAAGATGCAAAATTGACTTTTGTGGAGACCAATGTGATACCAAATTTTATAAACTTATGAGGACTATCATTCATGAAAATAATTTAAAAAGACTCTAGAAGGTGACATCGACTGTGATGTAAATGATGGATCCACAGGGCATATTTATTTGTGCATCCACAGGAATTGTGTATCATATGAATACCAAGTGTTATGATGGCAGAATTATTAATTTGTTGGTACATAAAAGCTTATCATGCAGATAAATGCTGTCGGAAAACCCCCGTGGCTAATAGATACATTTGATGGTTTTTTGTTTCTTTACAGGGGATCAATGTGTTGTTTTTTCTTATGTGCTCGAATTCACCTAAATAGTTGACTTTCATTTTTACTAAATCAGGACACATTCAGTTTCCTGCTTAACAAGGGAGTACTATTTGCTTTAATGCAAGGCCAGAGGAATTTTGTTCAACCCTTGCATGAATCCTTTGAACTTGACTGTGAGTCCAATTCAAGCAGCTCTGGCATGAATCAGCAAGTCTTGTGGAATAACATGCTTTTTAATCCAGTAGAGATCCAGAGCATGACAGATTGTGCAGTATCCTCTGATGGTGTAAATATCCCATGCTTAAACATGGCTAATCAGGATGGCACTCAGTTGGGCAATTGGAGTTTAGGTGGATCCAGTTCTAGTCAACATTCTCAAATCCAGGGTGGCCATGAAGAAAACAAACTGGAGCATGAATGGACACCACCGGCAACAGTTGCTTCTCGAGGTGGGCCTAGACTACAAGAAAATCATTTTGAAGCTTCCCATGCGCTTTCTTTGGAAAATGTCAACATAAGTCATAGTACAACTCAGACTGATGGTATCCAAACCTTTCCACAAAATTATTCCTGTTTCAACAATAGACATCAAAATGTGGAACATGTTGCTGTTCAAGTTGGTATAGGCAATGAGCTCTCAGAACCAAGGTTATCTCATCATCCTTATTTATTGGGTTTTCTAGATCCTGAAACTGTTCCATCTTCAATTGGTTTATCCAATCCTGGCGAAAGTTCTTCCGAGGGCGTTGGATTTTTGAGAGAAGATGATGAGAGAGCAGAAAGTTCATTTGATGGACGACGCTTATCCTGCAAGAGAAAGAATAGTGATGGTTTTCCTGGACAGTCTTCAGCAAGTGGAAATGCGAGCTCTTCTCACCAAAGTGAAAACAGTTTACTGCATTCTCGTAGTTATAATCCTATGACTGGCCTCAATATTTCTAGCTCATCTGGTTATCCTTCTGTTGGACATTCTATCGAAGAGCATACAGCAGGATTTGGCACTTTTGTAGGAGGAATGGCCTTCGACTGCTATCCCTCTGCAAGTGCAGCAGGAAACGTAGAAAGTTTGCGTAGGAATTACCGATTGAGAATTAACCGTGCACAGCCTCATGATGTCTCTTTACGTAATTCTTGGTCAGCGAGTTCAGTTGGGCAATCAGATATATGGTCACCAAATCAACCACCTTCTCGTTCCATCTCATTGAATCACTTCCTCGAGCCTGCCTCACTACTTACAACTTCAAGTTCGGCAAGTCAAACTCATATACCTGTTGTACCTGCTCTACCCCAAATTGTAAATAGTTTTCCATGGAATAGAGCTTCCAGTTCAAGAATTGGCAGTTCATCAGGCCCTTTCAGTTCAGAGGACAGATCGATCACTGCAAGAGAGGGAAATGACTTGAGGAATATGCCCGTGACCAGCAATTTGGATCTTGTTCCTGCAACAGATGTAAGGAACATGACACAAGGCCAAGCAAATTGGAGCTTGAGCAGTGGAAGTATAAGCATGGTTCCAAGTTCACAAGCAGTTACAAACTCAGGACTCCATCCAACATTTGGATCTTCTTGGGTACCTCATCAAAATCTTCCTACCCGATATCCACAACCTTTAGCGGAGGCTATTCATCCAGGCTTTTTTCCGCCCGGTAGTTCTGATTCTGGAGGTCAGGGCACTAATTTTGCCCTACAACATTCTGCTCATCCTTTGAGCTCACAGGAGGTGGCTCAGCAGATCAGAACTAGATTGCATGGCCCACATCCAACATCACACATCAGATCAACAACACATTTGTTAAGAAGGCGAAATGATGGTCTTTTCAGTGCTCCCTTACCTATGAGGAGTTTGACAGCTGCAGGGGAAGAGAGAAGTAGAATGTTATCAGAGGTATCTCTTAACTAATCATTTTATTTAATTCAAGTTATTTTCTATAGTTGACTATTCTTTCCTGAGCACTATTTTATATGCCTTTTGCTTAGTGTCTCTTTTGTATTTTGGGGAACAGTATGTTCTTTAAATTTTTTTAAAAGAATTAATATGTCAATTTGTCATGGCTGATTGCTGAACAAGGTAGAAATAGCAGAGATTCAACTACAGTCAAATATTTGTTGTCAAAGTACCTTAGTCCAACTTTAATGTATTCTTTTTTCTTGCTTTAGTTGATTTCTGCTGGACTACAGTTCTATGAGAGTCTCTTTTCTTCTTCTAATTCTGAGTGATTTCAGTGGTTCACACCTAATCTCTGCTCAAACACAATAGCTGCCTGCATCTTCTTCATGTAACACACGATCAGACTTAGTTATATTGCTGTGTTAAATAACTTTGACCTTATGTTCCACATATCAACAATCAACTCTAAAGACAACTGTTATGCCAATTCATTTATCATTTCCATTATCTCTTTAAGATTGACTTGCTGTTCTGGTTACAACAAAATTTTTTTTGGCAATGAGATAGAATGACCAGAGTTTTAAAATCCTTAGCCTGTAAGCACCATCTTCAAATATTCAACAACGCTCGACTTGATTAGAAAACCAGATTCACTCTTGTAGCACAAGTTTAGTTTGACTTCATTTCCTTGGTCACGAGTCATCTTATTCATCACTGAATTCCTATTAACTTGAGGGTGTTCTTTAATAGGAGTTCCCATCTCTTGGTCTTGGCTGAAAATGCCTTTCTTGATCATTTATGTAGCATTAACAATGAATTTACCATCGAAAAACCTATCCGACAAAAACCATTTTTTCCCCTCGACTAGTGTAGTGAAATTATAGCTTTGATTTTCAAACAAATATTTGATGCCCGTGATCCAGAGGCATGAAATACAGATCTGGGTTAATTTTATGATTCCAGTTCACTTCTGCCCTAGTCTTCATAGATGTACATTTAGATCACCCTTCTCCCTTGTGTCTTGACTGGGAGAAAGCCTAAATCCTTGCTTACATAGTTGCCTATATTTCCAAAAATTATTCACCATAATATTTGATCGAGAAAAAGTTCAGGTTACAGATTTGCTACTTGCCTTTTCTGGATTAAAAGTTATATGCCATTTTAAGTAAATGTTTCTTTATTTTTTTGTTGCTGCATTTTTGTAGATTTACCCCTTCTGTCGCGTGTATAATCCATCCAACACTGAGTTATGAAACTTATATCTTTTTACTCAATAATAATATACTTATGATACCTACTTTGCATGCAATATAAATCTATAATGTCAGCTATCTAGTTGCTTACAATCCCATAAAAGGTGAAAGTGTGTTTGTCTACTTGGTGCTGTTTCTTTTTTAATCTTTTCTGATGAAATATCTTTGTGGAGTTTTTTTCCATTCCATTGTGTACTTACATTTTTTGTTGTACCAGATTCGTCATGCATTGGAGTCTTTGCGTCATGGAGATGGTCTTCGATTTGAGGTCAGAATTAGGCTGACTTTTTTTCTGTGATTAGAATTAATAAGGCATTTAAAGAAGAGGGTGATGCTAGTTAGGGTAGGGATACTTTTGGTATGGCTCATGCAGGATTAGAATATGTATGAATGTTGAGTTTAAAACTAAGTTATTTTCCTTCCCCTTTACTTTTTAAGCAGAAGATCTGGTAGTCATAGTAATAATCGGTGCATGACACTAATTTTGAAAGGCAAAGAACAAAGTATCATATCTGCAGGATTAGCTCAACTATCACTGGAAGCAGGTTGCTCGTACTTGCTTTAGATGTATACTTCCATTCTCATCCTATCAACTTGCATTACCACCACTAGCAATTGTTGAAACTTGGAAACCTCTACCTTTCCATAGTTTTAATTTAATGGGGAATAACAATACATAGGGAGCATTCTGTGTGGCTCCTTGGAGCAATTATATTGATCCTTTCGTTCAACTGCTGATTCGATCTTGGTTAGACATTAGGATCTTGCCATTAAACTAAGAAAGGTAGCCGTTGGGTCAAGACTTCCAAAGTCACGTGTGTTCTCTTTATACAATGGAATTGGATAAACACTAAAGTCACTTTCCTACTGTTTTCTTTCCCGGTCATTTAAAGCTGCTGCAAGTTAAAAAATTTGCCATCGTCACTTTGTCTTTGTTTAATATAGGCTTATAAATCAACAACGGCAACTGGTAATATTGCTACTTTGAGGTTGGCGACATCACTCTTCTTTTGTCATCAAGTTTTATGTAAAACAAAATCTCTAGTTAAATTTTATGTTAGTTTTGGACAACCTTCTAGCCACCCTTTGCATCTTAAGTCACCCAGATGGTAGAGGCAGTTCACATCACTTTTAAGTGATGACCTAACCCTATATTGAATATGGTTGGCATCTATGCTCATGAGATTTAATAAAATTTATGCTGGTCACAATTGGCGTAACATATCCCTCCATTTTTTTTTTTTTCATTTGGGCTTCGGAGCAACATTAGTAGTGTTAAAATGGTGTAATATATTAACTTACTCAAGTTTGGAAACTATAGTATCAGATATTCCATTTCTTTTCCAAAATGCATTAAGGTGAGAGTCCAGGGTGACTATTGCTCAACTTTTTGGCAAGTTGTACTTGAACAAAAGTTAATGAGTTTAAATTATAGATCTTATTGTCTAATATGATGATCAAGGATAATGAATTTCTCCCCTGGTTTGTGCAAGAAACTTGCACCGCTTCTGCATTTAATAAATTTGTACAGGAAAAATATTCGGTCTTATGAACTTTTAGTAACAGTATGTATCTCAGTGATTATTCATCCCTGCAGAATTAACATAGTTAGGGAAGTTAAAGGAACAAAAAAGAAAAAAAAATTTCACTGACCAAAATTTATGCCACTTGTTCTAATTCATTATTTAAGTAAGCTACTTGTTGAACTTCTCTAAGACATCTCTTAGCTTTGGACTTTGCTAAGTGGCACATTTTTTTACTGTGGAGCCTATATTTGTGAAACAGACATTCCTTTTCTGTACATATAGTTTCATCAGTAAAAATTGTCATTCCTATCTTTTTATATCACTTTTGCATCTATAGAAAAACTTATTGCTTCTTGTTTCATTTTTATTAAATTTTCCAAATTACAACTATGTGCTCAATTAAATCAAATATTTTAAAATATGAAATGTGAAGTTGAGAATTCATGGAGTTACATAGTTATTAGTTGTCATAATTGTTTCTTCAATTATGATATGTATATTTTATGTTTTGAAAATTGTTGCATGATGCTTTCCCTCTGCCTTCAAAGCAACTCTCAAGCTCTGTCACTACATGGTAAGAAACTTATTGCAAAGCGAAGTATGACTTAACGCTTTTGCTGACATAAAGTTATGATGTCTGTTGTCCATTGATAGATTATTTGAAGTTGCCCATTGGAAACTTGATCTGAGTGTCCCAGTTATGTTATTTGACAAGTATTTTGAACAAATTAAAGCCGGTTAAATCTGTCGTAAAAACAATTTATAAAGTAAAATATATAATTGTTATGTTATTAGATAGACAAGTCATGATGTTTTCGTTGTTCTTGGATTGACTAACCACTATTGAGCGTAGCTATATGAACAACTTTGTCAAAATTACCAGTTTGGCATTATTTGTCCAAAATGGTATTGCACATTCCATTTTGGAGTTTGATATGCTTAATTTTAACTGGCCAGGATGTCTTTATCCTTGATCAGACTCTAATATTGGCGGGCAGCGATTTGCATGACAGGCACAGGGACATGCGTCTTGACGTTGACAACATGTCGTATGAGGTAATGAACTTCCAACATGTTATATGAATTTAAACAGACAATTTTTTGAATTCAGAAGTAATTTTCATTACAGGAACTCCTCGCCTTGGAAGAACGGATAGGAAATGTTTGTACTGGATTGAGCGAGGAAACAATTCTGAAGTCCCTGAAACAGCAGAAGCATTCATCGGCAGCCATCAGAGCATCCATGGAACACAAGCCCTGCTGTATCTGCCAGGTATTTGATCTAGCTCAAATTTCAGCAGATCACTTGGTCTCTCCCAGCTGATGTCATCTTATATTCCATTTATTTTACTCAGGAAGAATATGTTGAAGGTGATGATCTCGGCACCCTGGACTGCGGGCACGATTTCCACTCTGTCTGCATCAAGCAATGGCTAATGCACAAGAATCTCTGTCCCATCTGCAAAAACACTGCTCTAATTACGTGAAGAGGCATGCTGCACATTTCACAACGAAAGCAAATTTGATCGATAAGGAGGACCCTCCTTTAGCAACTTATTCTCGTTGGATTACTGTATCTATTGAAATCGGATGGTTAATGTTTTCGTTTCCTGAGCTGTGGACCATCAAATTTTGCTGTTGGCTCAAATTGGAGTCTGTTGACCGAACTGCTTTGCTATTGTTGAATAATCAACACTTTCTGTTGTTCAAAAGCTGGTGATTCGGACTAACTTTGGCTGGATATTTTCAGTGTCAAGCTTTTAGCAATTCGTTAAACAAAAGAAGGGCAAATTCCAGCATCTTTGTCTCTTGATGGCTCTGCTTGATATCAGACTCGTTGGATATGTTTCAGCTGTAGCCAAGTCAGTGACAGCTCCAAATGTTCACAAAGAAACAGTGAAGATGAAACCAGCCGAAGAAGTTGCATGTATGCTCAATGCACGATGAAGGGTTTTAGAGTTTGTTCTTGATCTGGTATAATGATCTCTGATCTCACTGTAAGAAACCCCAGAAGGATGGCGATGAGAGAGAGAGAGAGAGAGAGAGCTGAGGCCACCACCCTTCACATCAGCAGTGGCAGGTCCGGGTCATGTAAACGTGCAGTCGCAGCCGGGCACTCCCTCTCTTTCACTTTTCCTCGTTCCCCCGTGCATTAAATATATATTAAGACCATATAAGCCTCAGGCGAGGATAATAGAACCATGATTTGTTCTTGTACTTTCGCCCTTTTGCAGGAGCCTAAAGACTGAGCAAGGCGAGCATGTGCACACAAACCCATATAAACTACTGCCCCATATGGCCACTGGGTATTTGGGTTGCCAGCCTTAAGAGAACCTGCAGTGTTGGTGTACTGGCCCCTCTGCAGCTTACAACTGAGAGAGAGAGAGAGAGAGAGAGAGAGAGAGAGAGAGAGAGAGAGCATTAGTTTGCACAGCGGAAGAGGAGCTAGCTGATTAAGAGGGAGGTGATAGCAGACTTCTGCTTCTCTTGTTCCAGCTCACTTTAACTTGGTCGAGCCGTCAAGGGAGCGATGGATGATCGTAGCAGCTACGACCCTTCCTGCCGAGGAGATCAGGAGAAGATCTCCTACTTGCTGGGCCATGTTCCGACCAGCTTGTCATCCTACTCTTGTGAGGCCGAGCTGATGCCATCCTCTTCTTTCCACCCCATTTCTGCTGCTGCTCCTGCTGGTGGTGGGGGTGGGAGGAGGAAGTCTGTGGACCAGGATCTTGACTCTCTCGACTGGGAGAGCGAGGTGGCTTGCGATGCTCCTGTTTTGAGCTTGTCCCACTTGATCTGTTGGGCTGTGGGTAATTGATTGCTTGTTGCGGTTTGTAGGAGGGTGTGGAGGCGTTTGAGGAGGATCCTGTGAAGCTGGCTCCTTCCCGGAGCTCCGGCTCGAAGAGAAGCAGGGCTGCGGAAGTCCACAACATGTCTGAGAAGGTGCTCTGAGGTTTCCATTCTTCATCTGCTTATGTCTTTAATTGCGTTCCGTCGAATGCTGTGTCTGAGATCTATGGTGCTGCGGCATGATCGTTTGGATGCAGAGGAGGAGGAGTAGGATCAATGAGAAGATGAGGGCTTTGCAAAATCTGATCCCCAACTCAAACAAGGTGCAACTGAGTATGATTTTTTCTTTCCTTTATTCAAGGAACCTTTTTTAGGGGGCTCATAATGATTTGTCTTTGGAAAAATTGTGCCTTGTTGCAGACAGACAAGGCTTCCATGCTTGATGAGGCCATCGAATATCTCAAACAACTGCAGCTCCAAGTACAGGTCAGTAACTGCTGTCAAGTTCCTCTTCTGTCTATAATTTTTGGCTGATCTTTTCTAACTTGTTTCAATCTCTTTTCTTGTTTGTTGTGTGATCTTATATCATATCATGTGAAGTATGCAATTATTACATGGTGTTCTTTTCTTTCTCCCAAGTCATAATGATCTCTGAAGTTTAAGTCTTTAAGATGAGAATTGCTAAACATCAATAGTTTTACAGTTTGCTAGTTACAAAATTTGCACATAGGTATCTTTGTACGTCGAAGGAGTGGTTTTGTTGTCTAATTTGATGCTCTGTATCGAACCCTCTTTGCTTCTTCGAATTCACGAGTATTATATCATAAAATGTGGTCCTATAACTAGGTGCATTAGTCCGGCAGAAATTAGATTTAGGAGACAAAAGTAATATCTTTGTTAAACTAGCAAATTTCTTATGTGGGGACTTTATGGATGTTAATTTGCCTCCTGTCATTAGATCTGTTATGATGCCTGAGAGTATTCTGCAGTTGGTTTTGGATACATCTTTTAAGGACGGAGTTCTCTAAACTTCTGACTCTAAATGTAAATATGCCTTCCTATTGACCAATTGACAATAAATTAAATCATTCCCCGAGCTCTATCTCATATAAGTTTCCTGTTTCTCTTACTGCTTTGAATTACTTTCTCCTCTCTCTGTAAAATTCTTTATTTCGTCCTTTTTTCAGTTAGGATCTTTGGTCCCTGTGAACCCTTTGAGTTCCACAGCTTGTGAGTCTTGAATGCATCAGGCAATTTATCTTGGGATATCGTTTCCACAAATATGTTTTATATAAGACGAGAAACTACGTTCTTAGAAATCGAGCATCTTCAGTGTGTATATTGCACAATTGAATCAATTTACTTTTTCTTCATCACTTCTTCTACTTCACTGTTCTTCAACTATTGAAGGAGGCACTGACGGAAGACTACAACAAAGGGTGAATGATGAACAAATCATTGTGTTAGTGATAATTGGCACCAAGAGACCTCTTTGAACCATGAAGATATTTTCAGCTAGGCAATTCTGGTAGTTCGCAGACATGCAAATATAATTCTGTTATAGTTTCTCTATCTCTTTCTCTTCATTTTTCTTAAATCCTGGTTACTGGTTCTTGTCTTATATACAACCTTAGAAACATGATTATTCTCTCCACAAGCATTTAGGTCTCTCTGTTCTTCACTCTTAAATCCATGATCACTACCAGTAGAATAATAGCCTATTTGTCATTTTAAAATCCCTGTTCTTCCTTTGCACCTCTGACTTGATGGAAAGCCGAAAGAAAGAAAGAGAAAAAAATTGATTCGACCTTGAACTACCAAAGGAAACTAAAAGAAAACATGTATTTGAGTTTGGCCTAAATTGACATCAAACCCAACCCAAATAGTGAATAGCAGCATGCCTTGGTACTCTTATCATTCTACTTGCCTCATCTTGGTTTCTGAAGTTCTCTTAGATCCCACTTCCTTGTCTTCTGTGCCTGCTCGAGGTGCACAAATGACTGCCTAATAATTTCCATTTCTTGGACTAATTTGGAACTCAGAAGGGGAACTGAATTCTTTACTGCAACTTCATGGAAGTTTATGGTTGACTTTTTATTATCCTTCTGATTTTTTGTCATTGTTTCATTAAAAACTTCAATGAGAAATCTAGTGTTAGCCAATAAGGATCAGGTACAATAAAAGCAGAGTGGACCTCATATATGATTAGCCAGCTCCATGTCATATCTACCTGGTTAACCCAATACTACCATGGAAACAAAGTCTCTCAGGAGGTAACAGAGAGGGAAAAAGCACAGGAACACAAAAGGCCTACTAAATCCCCAATTCAAGGGTACTTGGAAGTTAATTCAGCATCCACGGAAAGGACTCTAGTTTGGATTCTCGTTTGTACCACCATCTTGTTCTTCCTGCATTTCTGATGAGAGTTCACCATAGACCAGGCAAAAGGAGCATCCAAACGTGCCTCAAGTTTCATTTCGGTTAATAAAGAACTTGAACAAGCAAAACTATTGATGGATCTGCTTATATTTCTAATTAGCTTTATCAACCTTGATGTTTCATACCTTATAAATCGTTGTTTGCTTCCATCGTTCAATTTTCTTGCAGATTCTGTCGATGAGGAATGGTCTCAATCTGCAGTCCATGTATACGTCTGGAGCTCTTCAGCCTTTGCAAACTTCTCAGATGTCTATTAGCTTTGCGCTGGATAATGACACGGCAACGGGTATAGGAACAGGCATGCTACCTTTGAACCAAGATTTATCGGCTCACTGCTCATTCGATCTGTCAAATCAATGCACATCCTCCCATCCATCGACCATCACAACCAGTCTCATCAACGTGACTAATCCTGAGGCTTCACTAGTTAAGTCATCAGAATCTCATCATGCTTCATTCCACCAAGTGCCTGTGTCCTGTGAGGTAGCCCTTTCCATCTGCCTAAGGACCAAGTTATCTTGAAGAACCATATCATACAAGAATCGATTATGCATATAGATCAAACATATTGGTTCCTGGAGTTTTGATATGAACCTTTTTGCTTCTGTTTTGGAAGGATATATTCACAGGTGACATGTCGGCCCACACCCAATTAGCCGCAATGCATTACACAAGGAGCTTCACAGGTGAATATTTAGCATAACTACATGATTGTTTCTGTGACACGTTTCTCATCTCGTCGCTTTTCCAAAAGATGATGAGAGGAACTCCATATCTACCAATGTCAATTCCAAACAATTGGGCGGGCAAGCATCAACACATATCGGTGTCGTCCGTTTGGAACAATGTCTGTTAGGCAGAGAAGGGAGATCAGAGGCGATGCTGTCCAACGACGAAAGCTTCATCCGGCACCTGCACAGGTACTTAATCTTTTTGTCTCTTTCTCTTTACACTGCTGCTGCTGATAAACGTATCAATGATATTGAGCAGCTTACAGACTGGAAGAAGTTTTCCGAGTGGTGATGCGGAGGAAGGACTTCGAGATTTCTAATGCTCTGATGACTAACATGGAGGTCTTTAAGGCGACCAGATTTAGACTCAAGACTCATTCATCTTTTTGGTGAATTCTAGTGGGTGTATCTTGAATGTTTCTTTGGCACTGAGATATCTAACCTGTGGTTCGATGTAACAGCAGCTATCTCTCATGTGGAAAACAAGTATCATTATGAAGAATATATATAGCCAATTTGACTTGGAATTGTCAGCTATGTGGTGGTGATGAGATGCCATGATATATCATATCATCTTTCTTGTCATCGTAGGCTATATGAAATGCGTTGACCACAGTCAACTCCTCCTCTCTCGAAGTGCTGGTGGTCGTTTCATTGCTGATGGTGAAGGGGACGGGCCGGTACGGCTGCTTCCGCCATCGTCGCCGGTGGACTTCGTCGGGCTGCGGGGAGCTTGTAATTGGGCCGTAGTGGTATGTGAGGCCCAATAGAGAAGGTCCGATCATTTTCTCGTAAGCTTACCACCAACGACTACAGGTTGAAGTGGCTGGAAATGAATTAAAATCCATACAAGATCGTCCAGCCTCACGGACCTTAATCTTACCCATGGTGACGAGACTCTAAATCAGAGAAGGGACGCGCGCATGCTTTCCGGTACGGTTACCTCATAGTGGTTATGGCGCAGAATTAGTTCTCGTGGCATTTTCAGGACTACCAAATTACTTACCCACCTTACAGTTGGTCACAGAAGTGGTCCCCATCCGTGGATCTATAGTTTCCTCCAATCACAAGGCAGGTAGGTGTCTGTGGATTCCGAAATGAGTGCATATATGAGAAATTTAAGTGGCCCGTGGTAATGAAATGTCCCAATATTTTATTGGTAGAAGTTTTGGGACATAATTATTCAACTAATAATATATATAAGAGAAAAAAAAAATTTCAGGGAGAAAGAGTTTGCAGAATCTAGTGGTAGTGCATGGAACTTGATAAAAAACCCATCATGTCAACCTGTCACACATCACCACTTGCCACTTCCACCATCACCATGCTGAGGGGATGAAGCTGGAGCCCTGCACCATTTGGTTGTTCTCATGTCACTCCCAGCTGAGCTCACTACCTATTCATTCCACTTGCACCCACATGCCTTTGTTCTATTCCTAATGATAATAACAACACACATAGACAGACAGATATTGAGTACTTCTCTTTAGGGAACAAAAGCTTTTGATACATTTCATCTTCTCATGCATACTTCTGATGCTGCAGTTAGATCTATTCCCACAAGGAACAGTCTTCATTACATGCGATGCCGATGTGATTACACATCCATACAGCACGCATGCATCAAATTCAATCTGATGCGGATATCTATCTATCTATTGATCTGTGTACATGTAGAAGCAGACGCAGACTCTTTTAGACTGTTGGAAGTTTACTGCATCACGACACGATTCGTCTCTCTCATCCACGATTACATGTCGACTGTGGGCATATAAACGACGAGATGAAGATGAATCAAGCAAAAGCAGCAGCAGTAGAGTGTCAGTGAATGGAGAGGAGGAAGGACATGCGTGGGAGACCGGTCGGCGGCGATCGCCTTGTTGAGCTCCGTCACGGAGTCGCGGCAGCAATGGTGATGCCGACCTCCATGGCGTCGAGCTCCATGCGGTGTTTGATCGAAGCAAACACTTGGTGCTCCTGTTCTTACTCTCAGAAACCATTGCTCTCGCTTTCTATCTCTCTACATCTATCTATCTATCTATCTATCTATCATCTCTCTCCCTGCGTGTGTATCGAACTCTAACTCCAATTCCCTTGCTGTCATCTGATAGCTCGCTGTCACATGTTGAGAAGCTAAAACCTCGTAGATTCACGTCACTAATTGTTTCCTGCCAATGCAACAGCATAAGACTGCAAAGTATGTGAGCGGACGCACGCGACCCAACTCCATTCGTCCAGCTGTGTGTTGGACTAGCTGGAGACTTAAAAGCTGTGCTGAGGTGAGGCTCACACCTTTGTTGCATCTGTAAGCAGCAATTATTAATGCAGACCATAAGAACAGCTGCATCTATGACTGTCAATGTTTCAGCATGTAGACATTTTTCTGGTTGCAGGCAACCAAACACCCTCCCTAGAGGTTCACAAGTTGCATCATGCTGAAAGAGTTTGACTATGATAGGGAACACTTCATCATCATCACCTTACCTACTCTTTTTCATTAGTCTCTCCACAGAGATTGTTGCTAAGAAACCTTGATAGAGTCTGGAAACAACCACATGGATAAGAGCAGACTTTGCCATATTCTCTCGCTGTGGTTTGAGATGAAAGCCTTCCAAATCTTTTGCTAGGGAAAGAATGTCATTTGTTTTCTCAATCGAGAGCTCAAAAGAGATCTTTAAATGCTCTTTCAATCTCTCTCTCTCTCTCTCTCTCTCTCTCTCTCTCTCTCTCTCTCTCAGTCACTGTGAGGATGAATGAATATAGTGGTCCTGCATGGTTCTTAAAGCTATAACAGTGTGTGTATATATGGCCACACTTTTGCTCATTTCGCTGTGATCTTCCTCTTCAGCCACTTTGGATCTGGAAGAAGAGTCCAAATTGATTCTGGTGCTCATTGTCTGGCCTGAATGAATAGGTTATGCCATCCCACCTGCACTTGTGCAGTGAACACATTCTGGACTAGGAACCCTAAAAGAACAGACACTGTAGATATCAGGGAGAGAGTGAGCGATGGGTTATAGCCTCTCCATTTTGCATCACATGGAAGGCAGCCTGGTGAGTAGGACACATCAGGGCAAGTCATCACCTCTACCTCTATTATTACCAGCAGCTTGTCCTCATCCACATCTAGAAGCTCAATCACAAGCTGTCTTAGACAAAGAGTGTTTTAGTCAACATACTTAATGGGCATTCTTAAAAGATTTAGAGGATTTATCATGCTATTTTATGTTTGTATGTATGTTTTTGAACCTGATTAATCAGTCACGAACTCTGTAAATGAAAGGTCAGAGAAGATGACAATTTATGTCCATTGACATGCCGCTAATTGTTTTCCTTGTCGAAGGTTAGGACTTTGTGTGTGTCCAAAAGAAGGGCGCCTTTATATGTGAATGATGTGTCCGTGATACCCCTATAATTGCAAGTATGAACCAAATCTAACAGTGGGTGTCGAGATAGAGGGAGATCGAGTGTGTGGGGAAGATGGAGGGCGAGTGCTGCTCCAGCAGCAAGGAGAGGAGGAAAGCTGTAACTCCTCCAACGACGGTGGAGGCGGAGAGGAGCGGCGAAGGCGGCGGCGGCGGCGGCAGGCAGCGGCAGTACAGAGGGGTGAGGATGAGGAAGTGGGGGAAGTGGGTGGCGGAGATACGGGAGCCGAACAAGAGGTCGCGGATCTGGCTGGGCTCCTACTCCACCGCGGTGGCCGCCGCCAGGGCCTACGACACCGCCGTCTACCTCCTCAGAGGCCGCTCCGCCCGGCTGAACTTCCCCGACGAGGTACTTACCGACGCCACCGAAGGCGGCGTTGGCGGCGGCAGCCCCCAGCTCGACCTGTCGGCTTCCTCCATCCGGAAGAAAGCCATCGAGGTGGGCGCGCGGGTCGACGCGGCCATGCGGTCGATGCCAGCATCACCACCCCCGCCGCTGCCGCCGCCGCCGCCGCCGCCGCAGTCGCAGTCAACGCCGCGCCAGCCGTCGCGGCCTGCCAAGAACCCCGATCTCAACCAGGCGCCGAGCCCCGAGAGCTCGGACGTGGATTAGACGACTGTTGCTGCTTGCTTCATCTTCTTCCATGATGTCTTCTCTCTTCTCTTTCTAGCTTTTACTCGGTCACAGTGACTTGTAGTATATTATTTCGGCTCTTGTTCTTGCTTTATTATCTGCTTGGGGTCAAGGCTAAGAAGAGAAGAAGGTAAAGGTGATCGACCAAGCTCTCCAGAGAAGCGGCAGAGCAGGACACTGATGACAGTGCTCAGAGAAGTATTCGAAATGGAAACACAACGAGACGCGTGATGTGACCGATAAGATTGAGCTCAAAAGGAGTGAGATCAGATGCTATTTTGGCTCTTTTAAATGGTAATATTGAGACTGCCCTCAAGTGTTTGGGTAGCAGCAGTAATAGCACGAGTTGCAGGATGAAGGTTTTGTGTGTTGTTTGGAGGATAAAGCCATGAAAGTGTAGCAGTAGCAATGAGGCAGAGAAGGTTATCTTTTGTAATAGAAACCCAAGTACTTTGTGGCTGCTATCCTCTCTCTGTCTTCCTCTCAATCCCAGCAGCATTATTGTGTGTGTTTGGTTTGCTTGCAAGTCTCAACTTGGAGATGCAGTGAACATGAAAGTGAATACATGACAATGCTAGATGTGGATAGCTTGTACACTGTACTTTGCTTGATCCCTGCTAACAATGTATTGTCTGGATTAGTGTTTCCTCCCCTAAAATTCTGATCTTTGTAAGCATTTGTGGATGGGGTTGGGTTTCAATGATGAAACATGGTTGGTCGGACCCTTTTGGATATGTGAAGAAACTATGCTGTCTATCTATTTGTACCAACCAATGCAAGACTAATCTGTAGCTCATATCTTGTATTAGTTCTACTGTTTTTAAACAGCATCTTCTCATTTCATGTGTGGATGATCTATCGAAAACAATGGAAGATTATGATCATATTGGACTACAAGTCCAACCTTATGTGAATTCCATGATGCCAGGCTCAAACTTTGATGTGGGTTGCCGGTGTTGAGTCTAAGCTGACATTGCCATCAGTCCTTCCTCAATGACTTCATTCATCACAAGTTTCTTAGTCACTGTTGCAGCCACTATACCTTGGAGAAATACAAATGTCTCTGTTTACAGGTCTGAGTGTTTCAGTTCCTTTTACAGTTACATACAAGTTTTTCTGCACTGTCAAGCTCTGTTCTGAAATCTGGTTCAGAGCAGCCTTGTCTCTGTTTCTGTTTCAGTTTCAACATATTTTTCAGCTCTATTAATTGTAACATTGATCCAATTTTACCCATGTTAACATTCCTTTCTCTTTCTTAAAGTAGCTTCACTCCCTTTCTCTATCATTGGTTCATTTTAACATAAATGATTAAGCTGATACTTTGTTTTTCTGATAACTAAGATCTAATCTAAAACATAATATCATTCTGTTTCTACTTTCTAGAGTAGAATATCACTATTTAAATTTAATAGCCAAAACACCTTTATATTTCATTGTCTTCAAGATATGATAGAATCTGATACTGTATTCACATACATGTGATGGTGTTGATGTTTCTTTCAGAAAACTGATAATGTTGCTGGGATTCAAACAGTTTTTTGCTTTAAGATGTGGTCTAATGTCTTAGACTTTGAGCTTTCTATATGTATTGTTGTAACCTATGTTTACTTGTTACATGTGCAGAGAGATGTGATTTCTAGTCAAAATGAAAACATTCAGATATGATTTCTACACACATTGTAATTTATTTCAAGTGATGATATTAGTTCATGAAACTAAAGTCTATACCTTATGCAGGTGTCTTATGTTCTTTAGCATTATTCCAAACACACAGATACTCCTGTAATAGGAGAACAAAGTAATCCTAAAACAAAGCTACAAATCTTAAACTTGCAATTCCACATTAGAAGAAGAAAGGCAAGAGAGTACAGGAGCACTTATGTTGCTGGAATGACTGCAACAGAAGACAAGATCAATTAATTCTCTATTCCTAAGTTTGGTGATGGCAGTTTATTGGGCCTATTCCAGATTCTGCTCCATGGAAGATAAGAACATCTAGTAAAGTTAGCTCATGAAATTTTGTTATTATGAGGAGTAAACTAGAAATGTTGTTCCTCATAGACCAAAGCTGCTCTTTTTCCCTACAGAATAATAGTATCCACCATGTCCTCAGGCCTTTCATGCAATCATTTTCTAGTATCTGTGTCAAATGCAGTATAAACCTCATCGAATTATTATCAGGTATAAACATTATGTCACTAATATTCTGTGGTCTGCTGTGATTACTGGCAGGTATAATTCTATCCTTCATTTTGTGGTTTTATTGATTCTCATAGATGACATTTATCCTCACTATAAATGACTTTTGAGCTGTTAGAAATAAATGACCCCACGGACAATGTCCATGAATGGGATGAATTGGTATATTCATTCTGAGGGGGGAGTATAGTACTACCACCTCTGCACTTCACATTTACAATGCCTGCATTAGCACTTGAATGATTACTCAATATCACTTTTCTTGAGAAAGATTAATGCTTCAACTTAGCCACCTTGCTCGAACAGGTTATGATGGGGCATGATGAGTGAAAGCTGGCAATCAAAGTAGGAAAGCAAATGTGCAACCACTAGTGTTTTCTGGGCTCTGCAGGAGGTGTTTCACACCCATCATGGCAGAGCTGTTGCCTCTTCTTCTCCCTACAATTTCCTTCCACAAATATAGGCTTACTGTTCTTTAGTGTGTTGTGTCTCTGTACAATACTTTTTATTAACTATGATTTGGGGGATACTGGAGACTATAAAGTCAAGGCAGCAACTCCTACTTTGCTGACTACAACAAGGACTTCTTGTGCAAATTGCAGTGGGAAGAGAAACACACATCATGAACCTCACACTTGGCTGTATATTCTAAAAATAAAATGAGATTATGAAGATCAATGCCTGATGCTTGTCATGCAATGAACAAAGGATCTGATTGAAATGATTAGAACATTAGGAATGAGATAATACATTTTTACTGCATTAGGAGTGGAGAACATTGTTCTTGGAACTTCTTAAGGGACAATGATAGGTTGGCTATTTGAGTAAGCAGGCACATGTATTGAAGCTGAAGAATAAAAAGGCTGCAGATAAACACCATGCAGATCAGATATACTAAACTAGCTGGATAGCATAGCTGTAAAGACTGAAACAGTAGAAGCTAAAAGAGAAGCTCCAAAGTTTGGTAGGAGCCAATTGTTTTCTGGTATCCAATGTTCTCTTGCATGATTTCTGGATGAAATTTGACTCTTTCTCAGACCTTTTACTGTGGAAATAAATGGTCAACACATACAAACAGATTAGTGTTCTTCTCTTCCAGTAACCTGGATTCACTACTTCTACTCACAAAACAAAGGATTACCCACTTGAAAACCTATGAAGTAATTATTTGAATTAATTTGTTGGTCTTCAAGAGCCTTCTTCAAATCCAACTGTGCAATATTATCACAACCAAGAATTTACCTGTGCTTACAAAATTCTGGCTGAAATATAAGGCATGATGAAAGCTTTCAGTAACTATCAAAAAGTTTACAGTAAATATTAATTACCTTTCAAGAAACTCCTATTGGATTAAAGTTGACAGTAGCCAGAAACAAGTATGCTACTCTTAAATATGGCCTTTCTATATAAAAAAGAAATCATTCCTACTGTGCAAATTTTGCTGTATATTTCCAGCCAAACATTTACTCAAATTCCAGGTAAATGTTTCTGGTTCCTGTAAACTTCTAACCTCACCAACTAGTTTATTATGATAATTAGAACGCTAAACAAGTCATCAAAGGGTGAGAAGTCTTATGATAGTCTAATGTTTGTAGTTGTTTAATAGATGAACATACACCAACCTCTTGTAGGTATATTTTAGTCTTCTTGAGACTTCATCACCCTGTTGAAGTATCTCAGTTTAAGATATCTATCAAGATCTGGTTATGATAGCTCTTGTTCATAACAATTAGAATCACCCTCTCTGCTAGAGACCTTCTTGGTCACAGAAGGTGGCATCAGGTGTGGGGCATGTCCTTCCTTGCAGTAGTGGATGCAAGTATTCCCATGACTATTAGCTGGTGCTCACCGGAGAAGAAGAGTTAATTAAACAGGAAGGAAGGAACGATCTCAAGGAGCCAAGCAATCATCATAAACAAACTGAATGTTGTCACTTTGCACAGATCAAAGAAACAAGTAAAAGGAAAAAGAACTCAAAGTTAGGAATGAGGAACACTATAATCATTGTGCCAAAGTGTTTGGCATATGCTGCTTTACTTTGAGAAGAAATTGTTTGGCTTATCTTACTCATTCCACTCAATGACAAAGTAGGCTACAAGAATTTATCACGAGAATCAATCCATACTTAATCCTTCTGCAGACAGATCACCAGTCCACTTTATATGATAGTGGGAACCCTCCTGCTTTTGAGTGACACAGAGGACCATGAAAGAGGAGAAGAAGAAGACTTAAAGAACAAAGAGAGCAAGAGGTTCTCATCAAACTCCAGTGCTCTGGTTGCATTTCTGCTGAAGAGTGCAGATGCTAAAGTTGGTGATGTTACTTGGAAATTAGACTTACCCTGTTTTACTTTGGATTCCAGTGCAATTGCTGCAGCAATTACTACTTGGAACCTTAGGTCATAAAACACTTAAATGAGTGCACATCTCTCATTGAATAGATGCCCAATATCATGAGAAATGATCACTGCACATGTAGTATTATTGCCTTGACTTTTTGAACCATATGGAGGACCAGAAGTAAAACTCATGGTTGTTGAAGTAGTAGAAGATTTGAAGCTTCATCTGGTTGAGAAATCTTGTTGATTATCTCTGCATGTTCCCAAGAAAAAGGTGCAGAAAGTTATGGGAAAACCAATGTGATTTAAGATTAATCGCAGAACATAAGAGTATGACTAGATCACCAACTTGTTTAACTCAGAAAGGTGAAGAGTCTGTCTCTTGCATCAGTCAATTCTCGATGACATCCGAATGATGTTAACAGATTTTGGCAAGTCTTATCTACCACTCAAAGATCTCTGCACCTTAGGATAATTTCCTGAAGTCGATTGTTTCTCCCACCATTGAATGCTGTAACGTAAGCATTTAAGTAGACGCTCGAACTTACTGCTGCTGCTCATGGGATGGAAGACTCGGGATTGGATACTCTTGTCGTATCTCTTTGTCTGTTGCGACGTGCACCTCAGTCGACCCGCCTTGCCATAGGAGGTGGCGGTGGAGCCCAGGTGGGCCCTATGTTTCAGTCGTCAGAAGGTCGGTGACTCATGGGCGCCATGAAGTGGCGTTCTTCATCTCGCAAAGCGTTTGACTGAACCAACCAAACAAGGTGATTCGGATCAGCTGTTCTTGTATGGATTACAAAACAGAAAAACCGACCTTCACATTGGCTAGCGCCTGTGGGGCCCAGATAAAATAGAAAGGACTCTTCTGCTGGTTGCCCCTTTCACGACACGGGATCTCCGCACCCGGCACACGTACGCCACCGCCTCGACTCTCGCGCTCGATCGGCTGCCTCCGCTCGCTCTTCCCTGCTCGCCCGTGCCATCGAAGCCAAAGGCATCATCATCAGCATCCATGGTGTGCTCAGCTTTCACAACCCGTCCACTTTTCGTGCTTCCGTCTCTTCTTTTCTTTTTCTCCTTGATGGTCTATGCCCACCTTTTCTCTCTCTCTCTCACCCCTTCCCCCCACAAATCCGTGTTCCTTTGTCCCACCAACCTGACCATGCGCATCCCTAGAAAGAGAGAGAAACAATAAGTTGAAAGATAAAGAGCAGCTTGGCTAGTCTCATTACTCGACACCAACCCCTCCTCTCTCTCTCTCTCTATCCTTTCTTTCTTGCTTCCCCTGTGCACGGTTTTGTTGGGGTGGCTGTCCTTGCCTCCTTGCTCTGACGCTCTGAGAATGGAGTTTCTGGGTTGAGTGAGGTCAGCTAACTTGACCACTTTGCAGCTTTCTCTTACCTCTTCGCTTACACATGATGCATTTCCAAAGCCTTTCATGTTCTCTTGCTTGTCTGCCTTCTTTCCTGTTTGGTGGTGTTTGTTTCGAGCTGAAAGTGGTGCATGCAATTTCTTGAAAGATTGGTTAGTTTTGCTTCTTGAAATCTTTGATATCGAGCGGTGCATCTACCTCTTACTTGAGCATTGGCTTACATCCAAAAGATTCTGGATTGGCATTTGAAAATGTTGATTGGAATCTCTGTCATCTTTAGGTTCATTTTGTAACACCCAAACAATCATACACACAGTTAATGAAGCATTGCTACTTTACCTGAGGAGTTGCAAAGTTTCTTGAGCTAGTCTTATTGTAATGAATTTGGATCCTTTCATGAAGTCATCGACCTAAAGGTAGAGAATATGGTGAGATTGGGGATGATGTGTTTTGAGTTGGTGTGAGAAGTGTATAGCCCAAGTCCCATGTCTGCAAGCTATGTAAATTTACATACTGATGCATATTCTTGTGTATTTCTACTCCCCTAGTATGTTTTCAGCTGCTAATGTGATGAAAATGCAATGTCTACTTGGAAGCAAATGAAGTTAATTTTTGATGTTCCTTGAGGAGAGTTGAACTTTTGAAATAAATCAGAATCAGTAATCTTGTTGTCTGCTTCAAATGTTTAGACACTCCAAATTTGTTGAGCAGTACAGACTAGAAATTTTCAGAGCGTTTAAAGGCAAGCTTGTCAATTCTGTTCCAAAATGGCTGTTCCTGTCAAAGTATATTTGTCCTAATAGTTGAATATGGCATCCTCTATCATGTGACAGTTAAAATTTCGGTCCCTTTTTTGCTGCAGTGACCTTTCTTTTCTGTTTATATGTGCATATATGTTTGAACGAATCTAAAGAACAGGATATAAATGTCGATAAATATGATGCAAAAATATACACCAATATCAAGAGGGGAAGGACCCAATATGAATATATCTTACACCAATAAGAAACCCGGAATGGCATGGAAATCATTGATTTGAGTAAATATGATCCTTATCCAAAGAAAATTCTGTAGTGGAGGAATTATTTATGCTCTATTTGTGCCCGACTCGTTACAAAACAATTGGAATGGATGCAACTTTTTTGCTTAATTAATGAACACTCTTATTCACCGAGAAGCTTTGTGTAACGAAACATAATGTAGATCCTGCAATAAGGACCTTGATGCAAGATAACATTACCTTGTATGTTGATCGAGATGCACATTTCAGACATATGCAATCGTCATTCGAATTGTTTAGAATCTATTCTTCCTTTTCAGTTGCCATCTCTTTTTTCTGTCGTGCTTCAGAGGACATTGCTGGTGCATCCATCTGAGAAGTTTATGTTTAAGAATGCTGAACAGTCAAATAGGATGCTTTAAGTAGTTTTATTGTTATTATTTATTTCATCCTTTTGGGTATGGCCTCAAATTCTTTGTTCAATATTCTGTATGCATACAGGAACTTGTCGAGTCATGGATAGCAAGACATGGCTTTGGAAGAAGAAGTCTTCAGAAAAGAACATCGAGGTAAGCAGTAATAAGATCTTCTGCTTAATTGTTCTCTGCCTTTTATCCTTCTCGTTTCTGTCCCATGCATTGCCTTCTTATGCTGGGAATGGTTCTAAAATTGTTTGCACATTAATTCAGAAAGAGAAGGCCCTTGAGTTAGAGAGATCCTTAGAGGACTTAAATGAACAACTGTCATCTGTTCGAACCGAGTCCAGTGCTAAAGATGATCTTTTGGCAGGGCAAGCCAAAGTGGCTGAGGAAGCAATTGCAGGTTAGACATTTCGTTCTGAATTTTTGTTTCTTGCACTAAATTTACATAAACATGATGGACTTCCTGAAAGTTCTTTTGTTTTTGTCTTAACAATTAACCATGGTCAACTTGTTAGGATGGCAAAAGGCAGAAGCTGAAGCCCTTTCTTTAAAGCAACAATTGGATGATGCTTTACTTCAGAAAAAAACTGCTGAAGAAAGAGTGGTTAATAGAGACATAGCATTAAAACAATGCATGCAACAGCTTCATGCTGTTAAGGAAGAACAGCAGTTCATTATTACCAATGCTGCCTTAAAGATATCACGAGAGCAGGAGAAGACACGGACATCAGAACAGAAATTGGTTGAGACAAATAAGAGGCTCGCTGATTTAGTTTTGGAAAATGGCAACCTCAATAGAATTCTAGATGTCAAAGAGCAGTTGCTCAAAGAATTGAGTGAATCCAAATCCAAGTCAGAAGCAAACTTCACCGATGTAAAGTCTAGAGTTGATTCCTCAGAGAAACTCAATGATTCTCTAAAGTATGAGCTGTGCATGCTTCAAAAGGAGCTTGAGATTCGAAGTGAGGAGAGAGAATTCAATCACCGATCATCTAATGCTGCTCATAGGCAACACCTAGAGAGTGTTAAGAAGATTGCTAAGCTAGAAACAGAGTGCCAAAGACTCCGTGTCATGGTCAGTAAGCGGCTGCCAGGACCAACAGCTTTAGCTAAAATGAAAAGTGAGGTTGAAATGCTGGGTAATAATTCAGTTGAAACGAGGAAGAAAAAGTCAACTTCCACAAATGAAGCCTTCAATATAAAGGATAATATTTTTGAAGGCTCTCACAATGCATCAAACAAGAGCGGTGCTTCCCTTGTCGAGAGATTACGTTCCATTGAATATGAAAACAAGATTCTCAAAGAATCATTGACCAAGAAAAACAGTGAACTTCAGGCATCACACATCATGTTAGCACGTACTACGTCCAAGCTATCACAGGTTGAGAAAAAATTCGAGGAACTATCAAAAGGGCATGCTTGCATTGAGCTAGCAAGAAGCAGCCCAGCAACATATGACTTGCCACTTTCATCAATTTCAGAGCATGGTGGCAATGAAGATGACATTAGCTGTGGTGAACCATGGGCTTATACTTTAATTTCTGAACTGGAGCACTTCAAAGGTGGAAAACCAACCACATCATCATGCAAAAGTGCTGGAATATCAGAGTTGAGTTTGATGGATGATTTTATTGAGATGGAAAAATTAGCAGTAGTTTCTGCAGACAAATATTTGGAAAGTTCACTCAGTACATTGGAAAGTTCACTCAGTACATTGGGAGATTGTAATTCATGTGTGACCACTAAAGAATCGTGTACAGGACCTGATTTATCAGAAGCAACAGGTAAGGAGCTTGTTCCAATCAAGGATCTCTCCCATTGCAGCGAAGAAAATAATGAAAATCAAGTTAGGTATGTATCATTTGAAAGCCAACCTAGTTGGCTTCAGGATATTTTAAGGGTCATCATACAAAAGCATCATATCACGCAAAAAAGTTTGAATGCGATTCTTGATGATGTTAGAGTTGCTTTGGGAGTTTGGAATTATTCTACTGAGGCAAAACACAAAGATAGCTTATACTGCAGTGACAATTTACTTCAACAACCCAAACACATTTCATCATATCTGATTGATGGTGCAATCAATACAGGCATGCTGAACGCTAAAAGCGGTAGCCAACTTCGTCAGTCAAACTTGGAAAAATCAGTTTGCAAGCTTATTGAATTGGTTGAAGGAATCATTCAGAGAAATATAAAAAGTAAAAATGGTCAACATGTACTATCTGGAGATAATGAAAGCACATTCACACACACTAAATCTGCATCAGCAAATGGATATGTTGCTCGTGCATTTCTGTGGGAAAGTTCTGAACTTAATGTGGTTTTACAGAATTTTGTTACTGTTTGCAGTCACATGTTGAATGGGAAGTTTGATCTTCAGCAGTTTACTTCTCAAGTAACTTCAACTCTGGACTGGATTATAAACCACTGTTTTTCGCTTCAAGATGTTTCAGACATGAAGGAGACTATCAGGAAACAATTCGACGCGGATGAATCATACAGGGTTAATGAACTAAAAGCTGTGATTTACCCAGCCAAAAAAGTAGGTAAGAGAGATGCATATGAAGAATCCAATATTACTGCAGAGAGGAAAAGACCTTTATTATCTGCATCAAATGGTCTAAATAATTTGTCCAGAATAGATGATATTGAATCCAAAGTGAAAGATGAAAATGAGCATCTAAAATATGAGAATATGAGTATGGAGCTTAGAAGAAAAGATTTGGAGGAGAAGCTGAAGACATTTAGTGATAAGAATGAAACACTGGTAGCTCAGCTCCGGAAATCAGAAAAAAACAGTGCCAATTTACAAATAGAATTAGCAGCACTTAGGGAGTCTAAGGGGCAAATTGAAGACCAGATTATAAACCAAAAATTGATTAATGAAGATCTTGGAACACAGCTAACAGTTGCAAAGGCAGAATTGAATGAAGCTCGTCAAAAGTTCTCAACCCTTGAAGTTGAACTTGAAGAGAAAAGTAATTGTTGTGAAGAATTAGAGGCAACATGTCTTGAACTGCAGCTTCAGTTGGAAAGGTTAGACTGTTCACTTTGTGGGTTTTCTTTTAACTGAAATCTCATAAATATGATCTGATCTCTTTTACAACATCTGGCACAGTGCTTCATCTAAGGAAACTCCAAAATACATCATGCGGCAAGAAGAAAAGAAAATCCAGGCAGTAAGTTCTGTAATTCTACTTGCTGAGCTATAGAAGATTTATCATGATTGTAGTACTTCATTTACAGTTTTCTTGATAGCAAAAACTTCTTTGTAGATTTGTTTATCTAAAACTACTCCATTCCTGTTTTATGTTGATTGAGATGTAGAGCAGATTTACAAATTTGCATGTCACCTAATTTGTTTAAGATAAAGTGATCCAAATTTGCAAGTAAAAGTGCCCTGTACATAAGAACATGCAACTACTAGTTCTGTGGTTCATAGGTCACAAGTAAGGGATGATATGATCGAGATCAGCAGAATGCGTCAGGTCAGATCATAAGGATCAGGATCAAACAATCTAGAAATGAAAATTTTAGAAAATTCAAAAGATGCTTTTACCTTCATACATTATAACATATCTAATATATTCCTAAATATATTAGACAGAGGTTGCAAATTTAGTCTTGTAGCTTTGCTGTTGCAGTAGTGGTACCTTATCCTTGTTTTGCTAGAAATTGTTGCATGATCTTGCAGGAATGTGATATAGTTGCAGCTTCAGAAAAGCTTACTGCTTGCCAAGAAACCATCCTAAACCTGGGGAAACAGTTAAAAGCATTGGCATCACCAAGAGATGCACCACTATTTGATAAGGTGACATTGAGCCCTGCCGTAAAATCCAATCATCGGCTTCAATTGCTTGATCATTTGAGAGCAGAGAATCATGCAAAACATGAGGAAACCAGATCTCCTAACACGAAGGAGATCATATGCACAGAAGCACCAAAGCCACCGGCTGCAGCTTCCAAGAACCACAGTGCAGGTTCTCTATACGAACACAAGATCCATACGAACCACGGCCACAGAAGTTCAATTAGAAGTATCATTCAGCTCTCACCAGAGAAGTCACCTGATATGCTTTGTGGTTTGGAAGTTTCTGACAAGCACAAAGGTGGGACTGATCCAAGAATGCTCTTGGTGGCACCGAAGAGACAAAAAGGAGGTGTTAGATTTCTGAGAAAGCTTTTTCTGGGAAGGAAGAGAGAACAATGAGAAGCTTGTCCTTCTAATGGGTGAAGCTTCTCAACCAAAGGAACAGCTCTTAAACTTCACTGGTAGCAGAGACACAAGCATTGGCATGCTTTTGTTGAGCTTTTTGGTGTGCTTGTAGCATGGTTTGGAGTGGTGTAAACAGCTATGTTGGTTTGTGTCATCCTGTATGTAGTTTCCTTTTGCTTTCTTGCCCTTTGGTGTCATGGGAAGTAATAATGTCAGGTTGAATGAGAATGTAATCTCAGTTGCTTGAAGATGATGAGCTGCAGCTGTTCCCATTGACATCCTTCAGCTTGTTCTTTGCTGATGAGAGGTATCAACATCTAATAACATCTGCAGAAATTATACAGAAAATGAAGTCCTCAAATGATCTATCTCTCAATCAATCATGGAATAGGCTCTCCCAAAGTTTGCCAACCGAGCAGCAGCTTGATTGGTTTAATTCTGCCAAAGAACACAGTTTAATTCTTCAAGTCTTCTGCCATTTGTCATTCCTATTCAAACCAGAAGTTTGATCCATATCTAATCGATCACCAGAACCCCCTAAATCTTGCAAGCCAATCACAAAAGCGACGGAGGATCCTTGTTGCCATTTGTTTCCCAGCACCCACATCCACCGCCACCTCCACCATCTTCATCATCAATTACACCACCTCCTCCATCCAACTCACACGGATGCATCATCTTCTTCTCCACCTCACTCCATCCCCCCTCCTTTTGCTCCCTTTTGTTCTCCTTTCTGTGGGTTGTAGGAATCTTTTTGATTGCATCTCCACCGAAAAGCCAGGAGGACTGATCATGAAAGCAGAAAACCCCGACCGATTGGACGGGCCAGCACTCGCCTTCCGATCCAAAACCCAACACTCTCCTCCTTTTCCTCCCCCCCCTCCAAAGTCAAACTCCTCTCATCATTTGGTCTTCCCTTCCCATGCATTCTCTTAATTTCTTCCACACATTTAAACAACATATGACTCGTACCAACAACTTCTTTGAATTAAAATATTATATAAAAATATCCAAAATTCTCTTAAACTTTCTTATCTTATAGCCATTTTGAATGGATATTACTATGAACTAAAATCTAAATTAATAGTCAAATAATGGTCAACTATACAGTGAATCTCTAAATTACACGGAACAGTAGGAAACAGTGTTATTTGTGCCCACATATAAGAACTACTGATATGCTTCTGCACTTCAACAGTATCTCTCGGTTGCTTTCAGTATATTGACGCATGATCACTCCCACCACCTTTATCCAATGAGAACCAGCCACCTACACAACATGGGAGTTCTCCATGTTGAAATGTAGATCTGATGTATACCTTTGCCCTCTCCTGTATCACCACCTCTCTCACACACAGTATAAATACCGAGCTTGTTGCTTTCATGTCCATCCTTTCACATAGCTCATAAGTTGAAGCAGCCATGAAGGTCCACACATTGGGGTCATGGGAGCAAGTCCCCTCCTCCCCTTCCACCTCCTCCTCCCTCTCCTCTTCCTCGGCCAACAACCCCAAGCGCCTCCGTCCGCTCGCACCGAGGCTCACCTCTGCTGCAGTCCCTACGACGGTGGCAACGGAGATCTCTGCCCCTCCTAAGTTGAGAAAGAGCTTCAGTTCTCCCATGACCGCCAAATGCGCCTCCATAGACTTAGATGTCTCTCTGGTACTGCGTCATGTGTGCTTGTCACAATTCTCTTGCTTGTTCTGCTCGTGGAAGATTCATGGTGAAGAGAATTGGGTACAGATACAGATGCAGTCAGGGGGAACGCGGTGGAACCCGACGCCGGAGCAAATAAAGCTACTGGAGGCACTGTACCAGGGCGGCTTGCGGACACCAAACCCGGTTCAGATCGAGCGCATCACCGCGGAGCTCGGCAAGTACGGGAGGATCGAGGGCAAGAACGTGTTCTACTGGTTTCAGAACCACAAGGCACGCGAGC